TATATTTAAAATACCTTTGATAACCTGAGTCATAATGTTTACAAAGAATAAACTTATGTTGCAATAGAAAAAAAAAAATTATAATTCTTTATTATGTTTTTAAAGAATCAAACAAATTTTATTTTTATTTCAATGTATCACCTATTAAAGTTTTTATAGTTATGGTAAAAAAGAAACTCATAAATTGAATAATTAAATATATCTCTCTATACTTTGAAAAAAAATTGCCTGTTTTAAATTAAATAGTAAAGAATATATTTACAATCAAATGTAATTAAACATTTTATTTTTCCCGTATACCCATCCATATGATGTAAGTACAAGAAACAATCAATAAACTAACCAGACTGATTTGAGGTCAGTGAAGTTTTTCTGCAGGTTTAAAATGATAAAGGAGTGAGGGGTATAAAAAGTCAACCTAACACTTTTAATTTTCATTCAGAAATATTTGACAAATTTTCGACTGACAGTATTAAATACTCCAAGGGAAAATATTTCCCAGGGACCACTATTTTTTCCAGAAATTTAACCTTCCGATAAGCAATTTAACCAATATTTTTATTTTGCTCAATAGGTACTTACTATTTTATCCAATATTCAATAAAATAAAGCAAAAATTGGTTAAATAGGTTTTTGGTATAAATGAAAATTGTAAAATGTATAAACAGGCACGTCCCTCAGAAGTGAAGATGGGGACGATCCCCCTTCCTGAGAGAAGTAGACTTTTATTAGCATTTGGCATAGTTATTGGTCCAGAAGTTGATATAATATATATAATTAATATATTATTTAATATGATTTTTAGATTTTAAGTTTAGCAGAGAATGTAAATATTCGTTTTGTAAATGTTATTTTTTTTTTTATCTGTGTTCAACTTTTCTACTAGAAAACTTGCTCCAATTTACAATAATAGCAATTTTTCTAAAATAAAATCGGATTAAGGAGGTACTTTGGAAGTTCATTTTTTGAATTTATTTAGGTGTTTTTTCAATATATTAAAAAAAACAGGAGAACTAGAAAATAGGTAGGTACTTACAATATTAAACAAATGTTATTAAAGAAAGTGTTAATGCATAATACAGTTGCGTAATTAAGATTTTTTGTAGGGGCAGAAGACAAGAATTTTAGCATACAGAGTCATGGGGGGGGGTCTATGCCCCCCCACCCACTACCGAAATATCAAATTTTTTTAAAATTAATCATTAATTACAAAATTAAAGAAACATAAGCAAGTTTAATTATTGATTATGTTTTAACATAATAATTTTGTATTTTATATATATGACAGACTAATCAGTAATCACATATTTCTTTATTTTCATATAAGGATGTCTAATTTTCTTAAATTCAAGGCAAGCTCTATAATGGTTTCGCAAGTATTTATTTATATATCCTGATGTATAAACATCACTAAACCGTTTAATCTTGTCAAAATGTAAATTCAAAATATAAGTTTAATATAAATAATAAAAAACTTATCAAATAAAAAAAATTACAATTACAAAAAATCAACAAGTTTTTTGAATTCTTGCCTCTTTTTATGAGTAAAATTTAAATTAAAAAGACAATCAAATTATAAAAAGAAAAAAATCACTAAGCTCAGAATCGCTTTTTCGTTAGCAATGATAAATTTTTGGTTACAAATATTTATTAAATTTCCCTCTATATCTTACTTTCCCAACTTCTCATCTACAGTGGTCCACCCATCGTACGAAGTATGTCCGTCTTTTTTTCTTATCAATCATTAATTTTAAAATTCGCTCTCCCCTCCCTTAGTCAAGGTCTGGAAACGCCCCTGCTAATCGGCTTTGGTGTAGCAACAAATGCCAGCAACAACGACCACAAAATTAGAGAAAAAGAAAAAAAAAAATATTCTAGGTGGTTAGCTCCAATAACTATGCAATAAGCAGAAAAATTAAGTGGTTAGCTGTACTAGCCACCATGCCGGAAAGAGTTAAGATATAATTCGTGGTTTTAATATAAATCGGTATTCGTTACCATTCAATCAGATAAGCAATCGGGTGTTTCATCTGATTGATAATCGAGGTTATTGAGGAACAAACGATGCAAAACGAAAACTGACCCCTGATCGTCACGAACCTAGCGGCTAATTCGCCTCTGTGGTCTACAACGTAATTCAATTAATTGCCGCAGCACTGCGACAGTTGCAGATGCCATTGTACGTTAAACGATTTATGTTGAGAGCTCATGGATAAAAGGTACGATAAACAGTGTAGATCACGATATCAGGGGCCAGTTTTTATGTCGCGAACATTTTTATAAATGATATTAACCAAATTATAAAACCCCTGACAAATTTATTTTGTCATGAATTATGATAACTTGTGATAAATAGATATTGACGTTCCTATAAAATCCATGTTATCAAAATCGCTAAATAATGTTAGTTTTTGTTGCCGCGTTATTGCGTCTTGACTTTAAGTTAGTTTAGTTTCTAATTAACATTTAAAACATTGTGACAATTATTAAATCTCGAAATGGCGGGCAGACAAAGAAAATTGGAACATTTAATTTATAACACGTAGATTTTGAGACTAGTGAAGATGTCGAAATACACTCTGCGTTCAATAATATGCATCTGCAGGAAGATTTTGTTCGTGGTATTTACCCTTACGGTAAGTCTCTTAATTGTTAAGATTTGTGTATACTATTTGCCTATACATTACTAATATTGTGTTATTTCAATGAGGTTTTTTATAGGTTTTGAACGCCCATCGGCTAAACAGCAAAGAGCTATCAAACCGATGATCAAAGGACATGATGTCATAGGTCAAGTTCAGTCTGGTACAAGTAAGACTGCGACATTTTTAATTGCTATGCTGCAATCCATTGACACTCAATTAAGAGATAAAAAGTTTTATGCACAGAACTTGCTGTACAAATCCAAAAGGTATTATTGGAATTTTTAATGCATCTGATGAGGAATAGAAATAGTTACATTAAGAAGCATTTGTCTACAAAACTAGGAAGTTCAATGCAATATCTGTAATATTTATAAAAACTTATAAATCATAAATAATTTTATTGATTGTGTAGGTGGTTTTGGCTTTG